GAACCCTGGCCAAGTATGCCCGCACCGCACGGTGGCGCTCCGAGGCCAACACCAGCGCGTCAGCACATCGACGACACATGCCCTGGCCAAACGGAAGCGAGCACCGGATCGAGGGGATCAACACCAGCCCAGAAACACCATCAATTAGGTTCATTCCCCACGGAGTGGGACTTACCCCAAACCCCTTGGCTGCGGCGGCGCCCATGGCCGGCGATGACCAAAATGCCAAATTGGCCACCTCCCAAGTTCACCGGCGCCTAGGTGCGATTGGGTCAGCAAGTTGGATGCCCTATCAAGCTACAGGAGTGATGAATCGGGGGAGAAACCACGACCACGCGTGAAGTTCCAAAGCCGCATGGCTCCGGTGGCGGCAAGACAGACAGAGCAGCAGCTACAAGGCCCGAACAACCTCGACCAAGATTGCGTTAAATTAACGGGAGCATCCGCTCGGTGAGGTTCAGAGGGACCTTGCTATGGGACACCGAGATGGGACGGCTCGACTCATGGCGGGACACGGACGGTCAGTAGTAATGCAGTGGTCGTGCGGGGCCGATGCAACAACGCTGCAAGAATGCAGCGAGTCCGCGACAAGCAATAGCGCGATGAGACAGCGGGGCAGGTGCGCTTAGGCGGGCAAGTGAATTGCGCGGTGCAGCGGGTGCCACATTGGCCATGCAGCGGCGTCAGCGGCCCTGACTTGGCTTGGCACCTCCTGATCGGCAATGCGCGCACGACGGCCACGCCACCGTGGTCCCACGGCCTACCACGGCCTTGCGAAACCCGGTTGTAGCTAGTTTAGCCCCGCGCGCGCGATCGGCAGCAACCGAGACTGGCCCACGGTGCAGCCATAGCCATGGCCACCACAGCGTGCACGTGGTGTCCGCGCCTACGGAGCGAGCGACCGAACGGCGATGAGCACGCATTTTAAAGAGACGCAAAAATTGCTGACGATCACGATTGAGGTTCAACTAATTCCACGACTCTAAAGTTGATCTTATCAGCTATCTAACAGAGCAATCCACACAACAAAAGGGCCACCAGAGAGGAAGATACATGCGTGCCAAGATGAGTTCGTCCTCGAAGTTTCGGTCCGCCACAGAGCGTTACACAGAGCTTGCAGCGCGTTCTAATGAACTTAGACCAATTTTTCTGAGATCCACGTGACACTCAATGCGACTATAACCTACACCATTCTTGATTGCTCATCTTGGGGCACCCAATAGTGCTCCAACATATAAAAATTGGTTAATCATTTTTGTTGGAATTTAAATGTCGAAATGGCATTGTCGATTATCGTTACAGAAAGGACGAGAGTCCCGCTTGAACTAAACAACCATTAACATTTATGATTGAATTTTTAAAAGGTCGGAACTTCGTCAATTTCAACTAGACAACATGTCATGACCTAGTCCATACTTCGTACTAACTCGTAGGAACAAAATATTAAAGCACTATTTAAGTATGTTTCACTATATAATTATCAAAGATAGCACTTTAAACTTAAATCGTTTGTTTGCCAGACTTAACCGTGAAGAGTGGATTTAATTTCAATTTGATTTCCGAGCTTCGCAAAAATACTAGCTGACATTATTATTCTCCAAGATTTAAAATTGCATGCCCAGCTATGTAACTTGCCCTCAAATCTTTATTTCCACACTATACTCTAGTTATAAATGGGTTGTTGTTCATAGAAATTGTTTTCATGCCAACAATTAACACAACTTATTCTATTATTTTTGTTAGGAGTTTTCATCACCACCTCTTTACGCTAAGTAAACGAACTCACTATATTATTAGATCTACCTCTCAGGCCATAATCTCGGTGTTTATCAAGCCCGTAACACCAGAGGTGTTACACGGGGCGCGAGCACCACCAGCACGGCCGTGTTCATGGGTGCCCTTGGCTCGGTTGGGGACCGACCTGAGGCGCGCGATGGCACCACGAGCACCAGCAGAGGCGGCGCAGGAGCGAGTGGCATGATGGGTGCGGGGCGGGTGGGACTACGGGAGTAAGGAGTGAGAGGTGCTAGTGGGCGCGCGCGATGGGCAGGAGTGAGAAGCGAATAGCACAGGGTGGGGCGCGTGCGGGAGGTGGCTGTGGCGGCAAATGTAGAGTGGGGCAGACGGACGGCCGCACGGCGTCGTGAAGCGTGCGACGGGGTAGATATTTCTAAGAGAGAGACGTGGGAGACGTAAAAAGAAGGAGGCAGGCTTGGTGGGCCGCACAGGCCTAGGAAAGGCAGCGTCCGATCGGATGGACGCCCGCCCCTAAGTATTTCCGAATAAATATACTAATCCATCGGCCCATCCAAAACCAATCTTAGGATATAAGTATTAAAAGTTTAGGATAAGTTCAGTACCTACATCAATTCAAAATTGTTTATCTCTATCTGTTTTATTTTCTGACATAATAGGTATGTTACCTTATATGAGATAAACAAAGCTACTTCAGATGCTAGAAATAAAATGAGGGGATATTTTAGTTTATTTCTAATAATGCTCTATGTGCACAAATTAGATAATCTTTTATAGCATAATTTAGTTACAAATTTAGAGGTTACTTTATATTGTCCTTCATAATTACATACAAATTCATGGAGCTACTTCATATTATCTTTTGTAAGGCATCGCTAGGTAATTTAGATGCTATGCTTACTTTATATTATCTTTAGCAACGATATAGGTGGCAAATTTAGATAAGATCTATGGGGTTACTTTAGGTTCCACAGAAAAGTTTGCCTGATATTTCTATGGCCTTTAGGGTGGGCATGAGCTTAACTGTAATCCGTTTGAGCCACCCTACAGCGTGGGCCAACCGCATTGTACTCAAACTCCTTTCTTAATACAATGACGTGCAAATTTTTTGTGTGTTCGAGAAAAAAGTTTGCCTTGTATTATTTTTCTAAATGGCAAATACATATTTTTTTTAAAATAGAATTGTTCTAGTGTATCGTAAATAATGATTTAAGTTTATCTAATTGATAAATAATAAGTATTAATAAATTAATCATGAAATATATTTTTATAATAAACTTATTTGAAGATATAAATGTTGATAATATTTTGTATAGAGTATACACTACTAGACAAATGATTTGACGAGACACTGACCTCAGATTAACGGAGGCAGGCACAATTGGGTGCTGTCTCCGTTAATCGTGGCTAGGGCCCGTGGCCGAGCGCCCGCCTGCGTTAATGGTTAACGGAGACGGACGCCGTCCATTAACGAAGGCGACCGCCTTTAGACGACCGTCTCCATTAATGGAGTATTTTTTTTAGATAGTTTGACACATTATGAAGTGGGAGTTATTTTTTGGGGCAGGGGGCGGGGGTGCTGAGGGACTATATTATTCTTGTTGTAATAATGGTTACACCGTGACTGTACAATGATGCCTAATCGCAGGAAAATATGCATGTGCCCTGATACCTTTTGCATTGCAAATATCAGGTTAGACTGTCTCCAATAGATGATTTATATGGGCACCCAAACCCAAAATAGGTAGCAGGAGATCTAAAATCAGCCTCCAACAGAGTATCTATATGGGAGACTCATTTTTTGTTGCATGAGAGGCATAACCCAAATATGAGTATCCTCTCTTCTGAAAACCCATTTACAGAAATAATTCTCTTTTGTGTTCTGTTGTTGGAGAAGACATCGAATGTGTATCGAACCTTTTGGCTGTAGCGCTACCCAAATGTTAAATGTATCTTGTATTTTGGGTGTTGTTGTTGGAGATAGTCTTCTAGCATCTCCAAGAGTACCCAATATTTTCTTTCCAAAAACATGGAGTTTTACAACTCCTAAAAAAATATTGAAATGAATAAAGAAGGCCATCTCCAAGAGTTTCTAATAATCACCTCCTAAAATATATAAGACAATTTTATATCAGGAATCCTATAATATTTCTAAATTATTCCAACCACTTTTATATATTCTTTCTCTCTTGTACATTTGCATCAGAAACCCTGTCCTACTCTTATTCTTTCCACGCTCTTCCACCTTTGGATTGGTCGACAAACACGCGCGAGGAGGAAGATACGCGCGACTCGAAAGCGCGTAACTTTACACGGAACAGGGTGACTTTTACCAAGTTTTAAAAGATTAGGAGAATGTATTATGAGTTATTAGAGTGGGATTTTTTCTCATCTTGCTAAAAATCAAAGATTATGAAGGGATTTAGGGAATTCTTGGAGATGCTCTTACACGCGGATGGCAAATTTTAAGCCGCTACCATGCTGATCCAAATCGAGGATTTTTAATGAGTTTTTAAAGTTTTCTTTTGAAGAAAGGTGATTGATCAACCCACCTTTCTCAGCAAGGTTTGCATGCTTAACTATAATGCAAGGACAATGAGGGCTGGGTAACAAAATCGATCGTCACCAAGACCTAGCTACTCCCTTGGACAGGGAACCAAATTTAAGCGAAGGTATCAAAGCCAAAAAGAAAACAACAAAAAAGGCGAGGCATAAATAACAGACTATATGCCTCATCTTCTTTCATTTAAAGATATGGTAGTATATAGGAAAAGCAACAGATAAAACCAATTGTCCGCTCGGTCGAATCAGCGGAGAGAGAAAGAGAGCGCTACACGCATACAAACCGGCCTCTCAAATTTTATGAGGTAACTGGAGTACCATAACAAAGCTTTTCTTTTTCAGCGCACAAATCAGGAGCTCTCTGCACTATGCACCAGGTACGCTTATTTATATTCATAGTGAAGGAAGTGAAATTTGGTCATGGAAGGCACGGATGATGTTTATATAAGCACCAACAGGTTTTGGAACAAGTGACAACAGGAGAGGTACACTTTGGCACGCGTACGACTGAATGCACACACGCACACGGCATAGTGTTCGTCCCAAAAATAAAGCTCCAGCTCATTGGCACATTGACAGAGCGAGCCATCCACAGTTCCACACCGCGCCACGGACCGGACACACAGTGCAACAAGTGCGTGCGTGCGTGCGTGCATGGATCATGAGCTCTCTGCAGGCATGCATCACACTTGGATGTGGTCGAGCTCGTCGTCGTCGTCGGCGTCGGCGGCGGCGACGGACTGGCTCTGCAGGCGGCGGAGCTTGAAGGAGGAGAGCTTCTGCGAGTGCGACATGTCCTTGTGGCTGGGCGCTTCCTCGAAGCGGATGAAGGTGTAGGTCCAGGCCCCCGAGAGCGTGCCGAGGACGGGGCCCAGGAAGTAGATCCAGAGGCCGGTGTAGAGGTTGCTCGCTAGCGCCGGCCCCAGCGTCCTCGCCGGGTTCATCGATCCGCCCGACACTGCCCTGCAATCAACACTCGGTTTCCCTCGCGTCTCAGTGCTCAGTTCATCTAGCTCTATTACTAGTACTGGCGTACTAGTACTACCCTCACGGTTTAGTACATGCTAGCTGAATTAAAGAATCGTTACAGTCGGCTAATCATGTTTTGGATTTTGCTCTTGTTTACTAGTACTAGTAGGAAGGAGGCAACTGGTGGTTTTATAGTAATCAAATGAGTGTTGACGTAGCCATCTCAACTATTTTCAACTTGAATTAAGTATTCTACGAATTGAATAACCCGGTTCTTGAATGTAATATGTGTGTTGTCAGTCTCTAAGCGCGCGTGCGTGCGTGTTTATGTATTTACCCTGCGAAGATGGACGTAATGCAAACCGCGGAACCAACTGCCAACCCCGCCAACTCACCCACCTGCATCATCCACGACAGCAAAAAACCAGCGTCAGAAATCGTCGTTTTCACAGCGAAACCAACAGCAATCACTGCTCGGGCCTCCGATCCAGCACTTACCGCTCTCGTGTCCGTGGCGACGGCGAGGGTGACGAACATCATGTTGAAGGTGACGATGACCTCGATGATGAGCGAGTGCCAGTGCGGCCCCGTCGGCGTGGTGCAGCCCAGCACGGCGATGGGGTGCAGCACGACCTTGAGCACGAACGACGCGCAGATGGCGCCGGTGAACTGCGCCGCCCAGTAGAACGGGACCTGCCGTGTTAGACACACATGCAACGACCCCAAACGTCAGAAAAAGGAAGGGCAGCTAGCAATCGTGCATGCGTCACATCACAAACAAAGATATATATAAACATGTATCGATCTTTAGCCATTCTTAATTAAACCCTGCTGCACCGATCGGACCTGCGGCATGTGCACACGTATTATTCCTCGGGGATGTGCCGAAAACGGCAGCGCGGCCGGCCTCTGGTTCGGCACCCTATTCCAGCAGCTGGCTGGCCCCAGTTGCCGGGCTGCGAGCCCTGTTTCACGACGGGGAGGGGTGACGCTGACCCGAACCGATTCGATGTGCCCTGTGCCGAGCACCGCATCCTGGTCCGATCGATGCACGTCTCTGTGTAGAGGCCACTCCCGCTAGCTCGGTCCCTGTCCCTCCCCGCACCGCCACCAGTCCACCACGGAACACCTCTCGCCTGCGCCGCACGCGCGGCCCCCGACCCAACGGCCAAATTCACCCTCGCAGCTTTTTTGTGCCAAAAAGGACGGGGCGGGAGCGAACGTGGCCGGCCTTCAGAACGCGGAGATGGTGCCCACGAAAGCGACGTGGCCGGCCGACGGCCCGGCGCCAATCTGGTCGGTTGGAGTTGGTCAGTTGGAGCCCATGTGGATGGCCATAGCCAGGCTCTTGCGTTTTGTCCGTCATCAGGCACTTGCGTCTTGGCATTGGCACGACTACACGAGCTTCTGGATGGCAGTTTCGCTTCATGTCAGCTGGCACGACTACACGAGCTTGTGGCAGTCTTCACATGCCGTGCCCAAGCCCAACCTATGTATTATACAAGTAGCGCACACTGCATATATTATTTGTGTTTACTAATGCTACTGATTGCTTGGCTCCAGCTCAGGTTTCAGCTAGGCAACCGAATTGGCCAAGGAATGAAAGGGACGTGTGACGGGAATGAACAAGCTAAGGTCATGACTACAATATTCTTTAATTCCGCGTGGGCACTATTTGGGCTATGAATGAATATATGAAACATACACGATTGGTTGGTCCGGGACAACAAGCTACATGCATCATGCATGCAGCAGCATATACTAAGCGTTGTTCTTTGACTTCCCTTTGGATGATGAGGATAATACAAAAAAGCTAGACTTGATCATTTGGCATCTATTATGCCTTAGAAAAAAGGTGAATAATTTGGCCCATGACCACACCATGACAAGTATGTGCAGCTCAACTTAAGCCATATATCTGGGTTTGTGTGTAATGTTAGTATAGTTCTCAAACATTTTAGATACGGCTAAACCAGGTGAGACAGATACCCCTGTTGTTATATATCCATGTACTAGGACCTGTTGGTCAGAACAAGTTATCTTTATGTTAAAATATTCTGACACACTTGTATCCAGTTGGCATTCGAAATATATAGTGTCATATATGTTTGCCAACATCTATTTTCCTCTTAGAAATATAAAATTGGTTGAAATGTGTTGTCTATATACTAAAAAAGACTGAAATATATAAGAATGTCAAAGGAAGAAGAAGAGCTCAGCAAAGCGAAAGGAATCGCTGGTGTGCGTTGTTATATGTCACTGAGGACCTTAGCTGTACGCATGTCAACGAGTGCATCATTATGCCCAACCAACTATGGCTCAGTTTTGATGCAAGAAGACGAAGTCTGCAGCAGGCTGCAGCTGTATAACAACAGTTACGATCGAACGCGTACCTGAATCCAGGGGAAATGGCGGAAGACGGCGAACGCGAGCGTGACGGCGGGGTTCATGTGCGCGCCGGAGATGTGGCCGACGGCGTAGATCATCACCGTGACGATGAGCCCGCCGGCGACCGACTGCCCCAGCTGCGATATCCGGTCCTTGTCGCTGCCGTAGATCCCCGCCGCCCCGCACGTCACGAACACCAGCAAGAACGTGGATACCACCTCCGAGACCACCTGTTGATGGGTTCCATGGGAGGGAGCACCGCCACACACACTCATCAGTCTCCGCCGGTTATTAGCAACCAACGAAACGAAAACAGGATGAATCAGACTGCCTCACCAGTCACCATAGATATGCATACCTTCTTGAGGAGGTGGGGAGGGAACATGTCCGCCAGCGATCGGTCGTAGTACGTGGGGGGCATTATGGTGGAGTTCTGCACCGTGCCGATGTCATGGATCTCGTTGTTGAAGTTGGCCCTGGAGTTCGATCTCGAGTTGGTCGACATTTCCGTCGATCGAGCTCGCTACGTGCGTGCTAGAGCTAGCACACGTACTGCACTCAGGAAGAGGAGGAGGAGGAGGAAGAAGAAGAAGAAGCAGCTCTACTCGCAGCTATGTGTGTGTGTCTGCCTCTCTTGCTTGCTCTTGGAGGCAGTAAGCAGGAGGTATTTATAGGGAGAGCCAGGTCCTCAAGGAGTGAGCTAGAGGTGGCAGGTACACAACGCCTTTTTATTAGGCCTACTTGTCGGATCCACAGAGGCGCAGTGCTGCTACTTAGCTCCCTAATCGGCCAGGGGATCGATCATCGCTGCTCAAATGAATTTCCCCGATTCTGTTCCGGCTAGTTTAATCTCTTCAACACGTTGTCGGATCGCCATTGGACGGGATGTATGAACTCTCACGCTTATATTTGCTCTTACTTAAGGACACGAATTCGCGTCATCGTCCCCGTGATCGGTCACCGATAAAAACAAATGGTATTTGTGTCTGCGGCAGGTAAAATAATTGAGGGTTTATCAATTGGCAAGTGTGTATAATATGCCGCGGGATAAAGCGCGACGTCGAGGTCATGACGCTGGTATAGTATAGGTGTGTGGGTGACGAACAAATTCTAAAATAGGGAGGGCCGGGGGGCGCTTGATCCCAAGCGAGAAATGCTACTGTAGGGACGGATATTTTGGCGTCGACGGCCGGATTTTGTATAAGTTGACGTTTATTTAGCATATTCTGCTCGTACAATACAGGTAGCATGAGCAAGCCAACCAGGACAAACCGTACCGAAATTTACCATTGGTTCAGGGACATCGTCGCTGTCATGGCATTGCCGCCATTGCCGTATTACCGATGGAGCTGCAGCAACTGAGCAATTTTCAATTGCGGGGTCACCGACTCAGTGACCGAATTCAAATGATGAGCAGTTGTAGATTTGCTAAAAATGTATTACAATACGGAGTTATCCTAACCACTCTGTGCTTCAGCAATCAGCATGCAAGCTGCAGTTAGTGCTCTGAAGACTGCAGACCTTCTGAATGAGCTCAGAACCAATGCTTGCATCGATTGTCACTGTCAAAAATGACCTGCCACTGGTTTCAAAAACGGAAAGAACAACCTGCCACTATTGAAAATATCATCTTCGTTACTTCAACGGTTCCCAGCCTGAGTACTCCAATCTGATATTTCTCCTCTCACCTTCAGCTTACTTCAACTTAACTGAAAACCACTAACTGTCTTCAGGATTAAGAGGTCAGACCTACCCAACTCTCATAGTTTACATTTTCACCATCTTGCTCCGCTGCATAGGATCCTCAACAATTGCCGATTTGAGCAATGCTGCAAAAGTACAAACGATGTACCAATCCTAACACCGGCATTTGTCCACTGTTCCCTCTGGTACTAATTTTTGTACCGCTGTGTTGTCTCAGTACATGAATTGAGCGTTCCTGACATTTTCAGGCCTAATTTGCTGGAGGCAGGCCCATATCATGGACCACCGATCCACCATATGATGTGTCTGTCAACAGTGCTGGTACGACCACATCACGAGTGTATGGCAGTTATGCCACTTCGTCCGGTGGTCTGCAATCGCAAAGCTCCCTGATGGGGGAGTAGTAGACGGTAGGCACCTGCACTGCGCTCCAGCATTGGATTGTGATGTCTCGCAAGGCAAGACCTTGCGTTTCCATGCCGTGGCACTGTGCTTTTTCAAAAGAAGCCTGCTTTTATGATCACTACAACTCGTTTCAAGTCCGCCACTCAACTTGGGAAAATCCGAAACCTCTAGAACTCTGCCAACCTAGCTTTGCAGGCCGACTGCGCACTCTAAGAACTCACTGTTACTATCCGCCCTGCACCGCATTTCAGGAATTTTTTTGTGATGAACGTGTGCAGAGATACTGTACAAAGAGAACGCGTACAAGAAACAGTTTCTGGTATCCATACACGTGTGGTGTTTGGGTGTGGCGAACTGGTGATTTTCGCTTCTGATTTTGTTAAAGGTGAAGCAGACGGCTTCTGCTGACCTGAATCTAGCTAGCAGTGCGTTAGCATGAAGCCACAAGAGGAAATGCTTCTCTCGTCCACGGAAACCGAACCATGATAGCTGACGAGAAATCGATCAGATCGGCCGAAGATGCATCCTGACACACACTAGTATTATTGATATCTTTGCTGATCATTGCTTTGCTTTGTCTGCACCTACACTGCACACGCACCAGAACTTCAGAAAATCGTCACTCCAGTCCATTCAAGCTCTTGCAATTAGCCTGGCCCTGGCCCTGCAGCCATCCATATCACCCGTAATTTCAGAGATATAAACACAGTTCAGGTTCCACACTGAACTGCTTTGAGCTTGAGCTCAAGTCCAACCTAGCCGTGACACCTGTGTCAAGTGTCAACTGTCAAGGCGCGCCATCCGATATCTGCTTAGGCCACTGTTAGGGTCCTGGAGACCTGGACGGGTGGACCCCTGGCCACCAGTTCAGCACCTGCTGTCTGATTCTGAAGAAGCATCATTAGCTGTAGTAGAATCACCATCCATGGTTTACCTGCTTTACCCAAGTCCAATTAGTAGGAAGATATAGATTCTTGCAGCTGGTAGTGCTGTCCTGGCTCACTCCTGACCCCAGAACTTGGATCTCAACACAAGAACCATATCAACTTCCCCGTCAAATCAACCTGAAATTGTGGCCTCAAGCGTCTTAGAACACTGCTAGTAGTGTTCCGACTTCAGGTACGTAAGGATATAGGATACCCATTGGCTGCCGGAACTTCTCTGTGGTAATGGCATCCCGATCCTGGACGTGCGTGGTGCTCCGATCCACACCTCCTTGTTAGCACCCTCAACTAATTGAGCATTTGAGCTACTAAGTGATCAGTCCCATCACCGTGCCTATTAGCTTCTCTTGGATTAGCTAGATTAGAGCAGTAGAAGCATCGGTACATGTTGGCCATTGCACACACTGACGCCCCAGCCGTCGCCATAGCTGTGTAGGCGTATATGATTCTCAGCGACACAAGAGGGTGTGAGCAATGTCGACATGAGATAGAGAAGTTGACATGTGATAGTGGAGGCTTGATTGCGATTTGAGAAAACCTTGCTGGTTTTTTACCTAAACGCTAGCCTATCTGTCAGGCGGTGAATGCATCAGTTGATCGGCGGCTGCACCGAATTACGGATGGAAAGGAAGAGTCTTGAGTCTTCACTCTTCGGGACAGGACCGGACTGAAAAGGGTGACACCAGCCTGATCCTATTCCTGACGCCGTTCTCTCGCCCGTGGAGGGCTGGCGGCTGGCCGCACTGGTCGCTTCATCATTCATTCATTCGTGCCAATGATTTCTCTGGAGCTAGCTCGGGTTGGTTGCTCTCGCTAGCTTCCAGCCTAGTGGCTTGTGAGGGCAGAAGACATTGTCAAGATGTGCGTGCTTTTTATGATAGGAATGCACAGGAGACTTACCTGATTTCTCAACCCTTTTCACTTTGTCTGCATCTTGCTCTGGTGCCTGCATTATTCTGCATGTATGCCAGATCAGTTCTTCTTCCTGAAGCACATGTGGTTAGTTACAAACCATTTGCGTGATACAATTATTGCTTATCTGAATTCTGAAGCTCCAAAGTGTCTGAACTCTGAAGATCCACCAAAAGTGGTCATTGTTTACAAGAAGAATCTTTTTTTTTTTTGTGCTGAAAAATAAGTTGCTACAAAAAAAGTTCAGAAGGGAATATCCTCTGTGTGCTTCCCTGCAATTCTGGTGCATAGTATTCTCTGACGTAGTATCACGCTTGCGTGTAGCCATTATCCGATCAAGAGGAGCCAGAGGGCAACCTAGGTCGCCCGTGAACATGACAGGAAGCCATCTTAAAAAGAGCTTGTCAGTTGACTAAACTGGCTTACGACTTCCATTCCAAAAGTACACGACAAGGAAACCTTCACAATTCGCCAATCCCGTCAGTTAGTGGAGATGAAATCCGCAATTAATCTGGCGACAGCGTTGTTTTTACCTCTGTCAGGATGAGTGACAGCCCCCAAGTGGATCAAGTGGTCGCCTGGACTCAACCGTCCATCGCCATTTCTCTATTCCCCTGCTTTCGGCTAAGTACGGACAGCTGCACAGTGTTTAGAATGACACAATCGCGTGATTAGGAAAGGAGAGCGGGCGCGAGGGTGGTTAACGGAAGCTTTGTAAACAATTAGCGGCGGACAGCTCGATGAGCTTGGATCATACGGAATGGCGTCACCGATGAATGATGAAAAGAATGGCGTCGCTGTAAGCGTCTATTTGATTTGATCCGGTAGTGAGCCCACACTGAGCTACTATTGAGAGTTGTGACGCCTGGGCTTTAATGTCAGCCTTATGGGCCACAATTTGTTCGGTGCAGAATTCCATCCTCACACAAGCCGGGCCAAACTCTTGGCCTGCCACGGACGACTGCGCTATTTCCTGATGTGGGCCCGTATCACAGCCCAGATCAGCGGGGCTGTGTGTCTGGTTGGGCTGCCTCGGCCTCTTGCGGCGTAGGCGTGGCAGCTCGTGGCCGCGCCGGTGCTCCGCGGTGGTGCGAGACCGAGAGTCAGAACAGAAGCGAAGCGAAGCAAAGAGAAGAGAAACCAAGCAATCCGCCTCATCCCCGGCTCGCCACGATGCTCGCGACCGCCTCGCCGCACCTTCAAGCGGCCGCGCGCCGCCTCTCTTTAGCGGTGCCCGTGAATCAGGGCTGCAGCAGCGTCCGCCTCCCGCGCCGACGCCCCGGCCGGTACGCGTCGGTGCGCGCGGCGTCGGCTTCGGCGGCCGCCCCGCCCGCGAAGGAGGGGGCGGAGGACCTGGGGTTCCAGGAGATGTCGTCAGGGACGCGGCGACGGTACTACATGCTCGGGGGCAAGGGTGGGGTCGGGAAGACGAGCTGCGCGGCGTCGCTGGCCGTGCGGTTTGCCAACGACGGCCACCCGACCCTCATCGTCTCCACCGACCCCGCGCACTCGCTCAGCGATTCCTTCGCACAGGTCCCTCATCCCGCTGAATGCCTCTGCTTTTTGAGACATGCTTGATTCTCTAGAGTATCTTGTTCTTATTACTTAACTGCTTCATTTTGCTTCCTCGGCGTTTCAGGATTTGAGTGGTGGGACGCTCGTGCAGGTTGAGGGCCCTGATTCACCTCTTTTTGCGCTTGAGGTTAGGAACATCGGATTCTGAACCGTCACAAAGACCTATAGAACATGCAGATCAACTGAGCAGTAGTGTTGCAAAGCACCGTAGGTGTGGTGGTAGAGTCAGAGGTTCACTGACTCTATCCACCCTTCATCTAAACAATCTGAGCAGTAGTGTAATAGACTAGTTGTTAGTGTCGATTTCGATAGTATAAGCACTTTGGGGTTTTGATTTCCATTGTCCACGAGCAGCTTTTATCCTTGCAAGATGAAACTCTATAGTTGGTTGGCTGTTGCTGCCATTTTTAATTTCTCTTGGAAAGTTTGCATTCCTGTTACCTCGAACATTTTATTTTGACTGGTTACAACCTTCAGACAGGGCTAAGCCATTGGAATTACAGTAAGTGTAATGAGTTGACAACATACAATGTTAAATTCATAACGCCTAGAATAGATATTTTTTTAGTGGAAACAATAGGAGAGTTCTCTACTGTGAATGCCTAGAATAGATTGATGTGCATCATTCTTATGTGTGACATGTTCTGAGTTTTGATGCAGATAAATCCTGAGAAGGCCCGGGAGGAGTTTCGGACAGCAAGTCAAAAAAATGGAGGGACTGGGGTAAAAGATTTCATGGATAACATGGGCCTTGGTGTGCTTGCTGAGCAGGTGCATCATCATATTTATGTATACTTTGTGTTCAGTCATCTTAGGATCAGCATAAAGCGTTTTGTCCCAGTTCAGTTCAGTATTTGGCTAATGCCATCTTTCAGCACAGCTTGGAGAGCTGAAATTGGGGGAATTGTTGGACACACCACCACCTGGCCTGGATGAAGCAATTGCAATTTCTAAGGTAAGAAGACATGTGTATAGCTTATGGTATCCCTGCTTCTCATTCTTCTGATTGTAGTTTGTGACCTCCATTTTGCGTGTCACTCAGGTTATGCAATTTCTCGAAGCACAAGAATACAGCATGTTCAGCCGCATTGTATTTGACACTGCCCCTACGGTAATAACGCTACCATTGTGTATCAAATGTTGAGTCAAGATACCCATTTACACTATCAGATATTATTTGCTTCCTTTTTTTGACAGGGCCATACACTCCGGTTACTATCCTTGCCAGATTTCTTGGATGCATCCATTGGGAAAATCTTGAAGGTATTTGTTAGCTTCCATGCTTTTGCACTAGTATGCTATGATTTAAGGCCCTTAAAGCCTTAGGGTTTGTTTGGATCCCCTCCTCTAAATTTTAGAGCTCTAAACTTTAAAGCTAAAGCTCCAAACAGGTGGTCTAAAGTTAGCTCTAAACTTTAGCCCACCTCACATTACAGCATTAGACCTCAAAACTGAGCTAAAGTGCTCTAAAGTTTTTAGAGCTCTAAAGTTTAGGGGAGATGATCCAAACAGGCCCTTAATATACAGTACACTGATTGCTGAATGAAGAAAAGAATTATATTGTAATCTTCTTACAACCCCCTTATTTTGTTCTGATGGCTCAACTTGTAGTGGTTGCATATTCTTCTGATATGGTTCACTTTGACTTATTTAATGTAGCCTTCACACTGTGCTGTATTGTTAACACATTCAGTTTGTGAAATTGGATAGCTGTAGTGTATGTCTTTTGTACATCGATGTTCTTAAAACATTCCTTATAATTTTTTCATGTCAGTGTTAGTGAGCTCAACAGTTTATTTTTGTTGGTTTTGTGAAACATCACATGCATCTCATTGAAGGGGCTTGGTATGGCCACTGTCAGTATGCAACTATTTGTTCATTCTATCTGCAGATGTTTATTGTTGTGTTCTGGCAACTTGAAATGATGCTGTTTGTATCATGTTGAGGCTTGCCTTGTTTTTGCAGCTAAGGAGCAAGATTGCTTCTGCAACATCAGCTATTAAATCAGTATTTGGACAAGAGGTCCAACAGCAGGATGCAGTAGGTGTTCTGCCCAGCTCCTGTCGAATGCAGTATATTTGTTTCTTCACTAGGATTTCAAACCTTTAACTCATATCCTTCTCCTAAAGGCGAACAAATTAGAGCAGCTCAGAGAAAGGATGCTCAAAGTGCGAGAGCTTTTTCGCGACACGGAATCAACAGAGTTTATAATTGTGACAATCCCAACGGTAACTATTGTGTGCTTAGCTTCCCACCCCACCCCCTAGCATATGTACTCCCCTGGAAACTAATACTTTACCTTTATCTTTTGAATTGGCATTTTTCAGGTGATGGCAATCAGTGAGTCATCAAGACTGCATTCTTCATTGCAAAAGGAAAGTGTTCCTGTAAGGAGACTCATTGTGAACCAAGTTCTGCCACCTTCAACATCAGACTGCAAATTCTGTGCTATAAAAAGAAAGGTACAAATGATGTGGCACCGACAGTTTAGATTTTCAGTTAATATCTGGTTCTTGTAAAAACTACCAGCCTGCAGGAAAGTTTATGTATCTCATTTTCTTTCACACAGGATCAAACACGTGCATTGGATATGATAAGGAGTGACTCAGAGTTGATGGGTTTGAACATTATTGAAGCACCTCTTGTGGACATGGAGATTAGAGGTGTTCCGGCTCTCAAGTTTTTGGGTGATATAGTGTGGAAGTAACTTCAGTATGGGAAACAGGATCACTTAAGGGCGCGTAATTGGCCAATATCACTGTTAGCCTGCTGCACAATTGCACTGCTCTGCAACTAGCAAACTGTGGTCCCTTCTGGGATAGTGGGATAAAGCTTGAGAAGTTGTTTGCAGCAACAATACAGCATAACATATCCTTGTGCGTTAAATCTGAGTAGAAACCACCGAATTGGAGGGTTTTGCTGCACGCCTGAACTAGCGTTTGATGACCGGTTACTCTTGGCAGTGATGCCAGATTGGATTTAGTGGGTCAGGCTAATTGAGCTGAAATGCTGTAATGTTTATCCTTTTGTATACATTAATTATTCCCAAGATAGATAGCAACACTTGTGGCCTTTTGGTTCGACGACTTTGTAAAACTCTTCGTTTTTCCATACGTGCCATGTCAACTTTGTACAAGAAATGAGTTTTCTTTCTCTCTCCCTGATGCAGTTGTTCTGGATATTTTTAAGCATTGGTTTATCTGCCATCTGCCAAGCGATGATGCTTGGGCATCTGGCTGCTACGTTAATGTGATCGAACGGGTAGAGACTATAGTAGTAGAGAACAGGACGCGCGTGCCGCAACGGAGCGTGTGTCGTGTCTTTGGATTTCGCGCAGCTGCCGCAGCATGAAGACCCGCGCCGCCCATGCAGGCCGAGCCGGAAGGCATCTCTGCCTCGGGAGTCGGTTCTGCAAGAGAAAAACATCTGTCGCTGCCGGTTTCTGCAGAAGAATTGCATCGTCCAATCTGAATCTTGCATAGGAACCTGATGAGATAACCTACCAAGGATCCACCGTTGCATTCTGTGGTTTTGATTTTGTAAAGCTGGTGTGAAGCTGTTTCGAGAATACTTAGACATAATGTATAATGTATATAACATAGGAAAAGCTACGTATATAGAAAAGTCAGAACCACTTATAATTTAAAATAGTGAGAATAAAAATTATAAGATAGCTTATACTTCCTCCGCCCTAAAATGCATGACGTTTTTTACTTTTAGACATCTTGTTTTATTGTTCGTCTTATTCAAAATTTTTGTATATATAGTATTTATTTTTTATGACTTATTTTATCATTAGAGATACTTTAGTAATGAATTATTTTATTTTATTATATGTAAAAAATTTGAATAAGATAAATGATCAAACATGATATCTAAAAGTCAAAAGCGCCATCTATTTTGAGACGGAGGGAGTACTGATTAAGTCATGTAAACACTATATATAAAAGCTCTATTCTTAATATATGGTTTCATCGAAATAATTTTTATCCAATCATATATAGGCATTTCGCTGAAATTTGGCTTATGCTGATTTGTTGTGAGAAAAACATTGTTCCTTAGCTGAAAAAGTGAAAAGTAGTGCTGAAAAATAGGGCTACCAATCCCATCTCTTCCGACTCTTTATATGTTGGTTCCTGTGTAGGCATAGTTTCATGTCTAAGAAATTATTTGCTCCTCTCTTTCTTCCTTAATTATAATGTCACATTATTTTTTTATTTATTTAGGGTCTTAATTAAAACTCCCTCCGCCCCAGAAAAATACAATTCTAGAACCGTATCATGTTTTATGTATCAAGTTTGACCAATTATAAATAAAAAATATAAATATTTATAATATCAAATAAACACCATTAGATTAATTACAAAATATATTTTCATAATAAATTAATTTAGAGCCATAAATATGAATACTATTTATTAGAAATTTGATTAAACATGAAGCACTTTAACCTACATGCAACCCATAGTTGCTTTCTTTTATGTAAAGAGGTAGTAATAAACATGGAAGATGGAGTTTCTGGTTTAGGAGCGCCGTGTGCTGCCATTCGTGCATGTAGGCGCAGAGCCAGAGATTCCATTGGCTCATCATAATGATTCGGAAACTCTAGGAGTATGCCATTGGCTGATTAGACATCTCACGAGTCACAATCATGATTCAAAAGAATAGTATAAACACTTTGAGCCTGTTTAGTTTCCAAAATTTTGTAAAATTTTTAAAGATTTTCCGTCACATCGAATCTTTAGACGCATGCATAAAGCATTAAATATAAATAAAAAATAAAACTAATTACATAGTTTAGACGAAATTCACGAGACGAATCTTTTAAGTCTAATTAGATTATGATTGGACACTAATTACCAAATAACAACAAAAATGTTACAGTACTATTTTCCCAAATATTTGTCCAACTAAACCACCCCTTTGACGCATTAAATGCTACGGTATACTAGTACAGTATGCACAACGTTTCTTCGAGTATAAGGCCGTCAAGGCAATTTGTGCTAGGTCTTGTTTAGATTGCAACTTTTTTTAACCTGATGAATAGTACTACTATAAATTTGAGTGCTGACTGTTTCCAACTAAACTGTAATTAGTTATTTTTTTACCTACATTTAATACTCCATGCAAAGAGAATCCAACGTGGAGCAAAGAGGAGGGCTGAAAAGAGAACTCGCTAGCGCTTCTTCATTCGCTAGTCTCGCACCCTGCCCGAGAAATGCTGTCTCTGCCCACCAACACTTTCCTATCTTGCATGTCAGAGCTTCTTACTTTTATTTTTTCTACTCCAGATGACGACCCATACTAGTTCTTTTAAGACTAACTCCAACCATGAAACCATGAGACCCAAATACAACACCTATATTTCGGTTTGGGTTCGCACAGTGAAAAAAAGTCACCACGCAAAAGTGAGCCTCTCCAACCGACCGCAAACACAAAAGCTCCCAAATCCATCGGAGATCGCCGCCTCATCCGTCCAGGACCGCGCCAAGGACATCCTCGTCGTCGTCTCCGGCCTCCACGCCCACGCGCTCCTCCTCCAACATCGGCGGCGGGCGCGAGGCGAGCTCCGCCCAGCACGGAGGACCCCGGATCCCGCTCCCGGCGTCGCGCCCGCCCGCCTTGCCGCCCTCCTCCAACACCGGTGGCGGGCGCGAAGCGAAGCTCCTCCAACACCGGTGGCGAGCTCCGCCACCTCCGCCACCACGGCGAAGCTTCGGGCGAAGCCTCCGCCTCGGCGATTTGCGCAATTTGCGCGAGAGAGAGGGGCACGCTTTTTGCTGCGTTCGGGGAGCAGCAAAATGCGTCGGGTGTATGGGTCCGTCGTTGGAGGATGTTTTCGGGAAGACAAAGAATTGTGCCGGACGCAAAAAATGAGTGTGGGTCTCCTCATTGGAGACAGTCTAAGACTGACTCCAACCATGAGACCCAAATACAACACCTATATCTCGGTTTGGGTCCGGCACAGTGAAAAAAAGTCACCACGCAAAAGTGAGCCTCTCCAACCGACCGCAAACGCAAAAGCTCCCAAATCCGCTGGAGGTCGCCGCCTCATCCGTCCAGGACCGCGCCAAGGACGCCATTGTCGCCGCCTCGGCCTCCACGCCTCCACGCTTCACGCTCCTCCTCCAACATCACGGCGGCGCGGCGCGGGCGAAGCTCCGCCCGCACGGAGGACCCGGATCCCGCTCCCGACGGCGCCCGCCCCCCGCCTCGCCTGCCAAGCAAGGCCTCCTCCAACACCGGTGGCGGGCGCGGGCGAGCTCCGCCTCGGCCACAGCGTGGGCGAGCTCGGGCGAGCTCCACCTCGGCCACGGCGCGGGCGAGCTCCGCCTCTGCGATTTGCGTAGCGAGAGAGAGGGGACGCTTTTTTGCCTGGCGTTCAGGGGAGCAGGCAAAATGCGTCGGGTGTATGGGTCCGTCGTTGGAGGATGTTTTCGGGAAGGCAAAGAACTGTGCCAAACGCAAAAATAAGTGTGGGTCTCCTCATTGGGGACCGTCTAAGCAATATATAGCCTTCCATTGCGGCCCGCCCTAAGCGCACGTGGCCTTCCACTCCTCTTTCTTTAGGACCCTAAGTGCCCTTCTACTGTCAGCGATACCAATACTCCTCTCTTCTTGTTAAAAAATTACTTCTCTGTTTTCTGAATTCTTTTATTTAATGTTTTATTAGGCCTGGAAGGCTATATATTGCTTAAAAGAACTAGTATACACTGCTATTCTGCGTCTCCGAAAAAAAAATCATAAATAGACATATACGCACCTTCAAAGTCCTCATATCTCGTGATCGTGTACTGTATGCTCTCCTAATCATTGGTCGCCAGGTGCGTTAATAATTTAACAGAATACTTTTGTGGCACAACCGTCTTATATAACGTCGCTCAAGGATACTTGTCTTCTATTAGATACTGAGTACCCAAATAATGACACTAAACTATGCAGTTTTGTTGAGCACACCCTAAGAGAGAACTCGAAAATCCATATTTTTCCATCAGGATCGTAAATGAGAGTGTAAAGCCTACAACATCTTTAACCATTTCTTACATCACTTTATTACAGTAGCAGAATATTACCTAAATTGATTATAACAACGGAATATAACGATGTTATCAGAGTTTTCAGCGAAAATGTATATAACGATAAGTTTAATCGCTAACATGAGGAACATTTATATACATGGAATGATAACAGCCTATAAGTCTTCTCCTTTGCAAAAACATTTTGTGAAATTTTTGAATAAATTATACGTCAGCAACGTAAGGAAATCCTCGTTGAGCCCACCAGGAGGTTTCCACACACAAAAGCCGTCTACCATCCATCGGTCACCTGCAACAGGGGGAATAAAACCCTGAGTACTCGATTGTACTCAGCAAGACTTACCCGACAGGAGAAAAATAAAAGACTCCAAGGATATAGATGGCTTATTTGGCTTGTGAGTTATTGCATATGCAGAAGCGTTACTAAACGTGCGTCCTTATATTTAATTTTTATTAGCAGTCATCATTAGTTCATTAACTTACCATTCTATGTAAGCACATATGCTACTTTCAAGCAGGTGGTAAGCAATCAGAACCATGTTACCATCTTTCATGTTACAATTCTTACTACGGTGCTAGACCATAGTCAAGTCGTACCGTCTCATAGAAACGACAATTCGTGAATCAATGTATCCCAGCTGGGTACCCTGAAACACACACCTCGCTTGTACCACAGACACAAATAAGACCAACCCATTTCACTCTTGTCAAGGGGTCCAAGTCCCGTCCAAACTTGGACTCCAAGCCCCCAACACCTAAGACCCATTCTCAGTATGGTGCTTAGACCTCCACCTAATATCCACCCCTAAAAGTCGGTCCGGAAAGTGCCGGAACCCATGACAAGAGCGTAATAAGTCTTCCCGCTCCCATAAGCAAGTATGTGCTCAGGATAATAGGTCTGTGACCTGGCTACCATCGGACGGTCCTCAATCGACACAAGCGGAACAAATACAACCAGAGTCTCGCTCGGTTGCCTAACCAAATCCAAAGCACAGTCCCACCCGGTCTTCAATTATCATCCATATATATTCCATATGATAGTTATATGATAATAAGAACAATAATATCTTTCTTATCTCTCGTGAGTGACAGGTAATCACTCGACTTCTACCGGAATCCTTTAGCATAGCAATCTACACGATCCTGACATTGAAAGTGCATCTAGCCCTTTAGTGGATTTTGGATGATTGAATGACAACATGATTAAAGGTCTAACCCGTTTGCTAAGTGTAGACAGGTAATAGGTTATTTCACAGGTACTTAATAAAAGTCAAAATGATGTGTTGTTGTATAAACGATCTAGTTCAAGCACAAGACAACAATGCAAATGGAATTTATACAAAGGCTTATTTATTGTGGAATTTTCATGTACTATGTGAAAGCAAGCACGGTAAGAATTAATTAATTAGACATGAGGGATTGCATATGGAATGGTCTCATATTTAAAGCTTGCTAAATTGAAATAAAAAAAGGATAACAACACAAATGGATGATTCAACACAAGATGTGACTTGATGGCTTGAGATGGTGAAGATAGTAAGAAAAAGCTTCGAGGTACTAAGCAAGGGTGAAGAGAAAGCAACGGCTTGGCGACCGAAGAACCTAGCTAGGGTGAAGAAGGAAGTACTCGCATTTAGTTGATGTACTAATCAAGCTATGATGGTCATGTTGATGTGGAGGATCAAATCACTATTGGAGTGTTTGATGGAGGTGACTTGATACATTTGAGATTATTCATATTTGATGAATGGAATCAAGTCACGTGCTCAAGATGGCTATGCTCAAGTAAAAAGATCAATATCGACATGTTGGCACCCTCACTTGATGAAGATTGAGAGACACGGCATAAATTCAAAAGAGATCAACTCAAGCGGTATAAATTTATTTTTCCTTTTATCTTGAGTTTAATAGGTATGTCGTACTATTAAGAATGATGCATCATGTTAATAGATAATTATCCATAAGTGCTCAAGTCAACCCATATGAGTTTTGAGTATTTGAGAGACAAAAAATCTAACTTGATGTAGCTGGTCTGGCAATACCGGACGTGTCCGGTATTCATACCAGACGTGTCCCAAAACAAGTGTCACTTTAGACTCTGTACAAGTCGAGCTTTCTTAAATTTGGCTAGATTTATAGAAAATATTAACAACATCTATATCTCCAAATAAATTTATTATGAAAATATGTTCGATAATTAATCTAATGATACTCATAGTATTATGCACCATAAATATCAATGATTTCTTGTATATATTTAGTTAAAGTTAAAAATATTTCATTTCTCTAAAATGGGTGATAATTATTTTGGGAAGGAGCGAGTATGCATGAACCTACATTTTTCTTTTAATTTTGGTATTCATAGAAGATGCACGTGTGCATCTAGCTCAAGTCAGAGGTGAGAGAAAACGAGTTAGGCTTCACAAATGGATTTTTTTTAGAAACTCAAAAATGGATGTGTTGGGAGCCGTGAAGTTTCTAATAATGACATTGCCAAATGAAAAGAGACTGATTGGCCACAGACATTAGCCCTGTTCGCTTGGCTTATAAGTCGTATTTTTCAGCCAATGAATAGTATTTTTCTCTCATAATAATCAACCAACAGTACTTTCAGCTATGACTTATCAGCCAAACGAACAGGGACAATTGTTATAAATTACTTATAAGGTATTCCAGGTGAACTAATTCTCCATCTTATTTTAAGAAGGCAACATACTTACCATCGGTGTTTATCGCCACCCAAGCATAGCAATTATCAAGGGTTATATGTGTTATTTTTTACCATATAATACGTTCTATAATCTCTAGAATATTTATATTTTAGATAGAGAGAGTACTAGAAAAAAATAAAGTTAGAAGTACCCCCCGGCGGTAATCATCACTCCTTTGAGGGAAAAATATAAATATATTTAAGATAAATATACTTCAGGATAGAGGGACTTTTCCCTGATAATCGTCGGTCCTTTAGGACTAATTTGGAAAAAGGGAGGTACACCTAGGGATGGAAAACTCCTCCATGAAGAATTAAATAATTATTTAAATTATTTTCTCATGGATTTCTCACCCTGGAAAAAGTCGAGGATTCCATGGGGATTTGAGTTTCTAAATTAGCCCTTAAGGGAAAAGATAAATGAGTAACTGAGCAAGTGTTCTATTCTATCAAGAGAAATCTCGCGGTTACTCACTTATGCATGATTGCATAAATTCTTGCATTTTTTATTTTAATTTTGGTGTTCACAGTAGATGCTGCATCTAGCTGCCGTCAGAGGTGAGAGAGAAAGAGAGTTAGGCTTCAAAAATGGATATGTGTTGGGAGCTGTAAAGTTTCTAATAATGACATTGCCAAATGAAAAGATAGTGACTGGCGACATTGGCATTGTACTTCTCAGTTCTCACTACGTATACACGAAAGCATCCTCTTCCTCGTAGCATCCCTACTACTTCGTTGCATAGCCTTGAACTTCTTTCCTTCGCCAATGGAAGATCGCTTCTACGAGGAAGATGAGTGGTACTTCCAGTTTCAGGATTTCAAGTACACACTTTCTCCAGAACTGTTCCCTGCGATGAACATTAGTAAGGATTTTTTTACTCTATTTGATCGAATGCTACTCTTTTCCAATCCTGTCATGTGCAGTACTTTTCAGTCACGCTCAAGTTTGTTCTCAGCTCAGCGTTTCTGTGCCACCAGTACTTGTTCAGAGAGCAGCTTGTCTCAAGGTACAGCGACGCTTTGTTACAAGGATTCGCGCAAGCAAGAAAGCAAGCATTGCACATTTTCTTGAGTTCATGTTCCTTCTTCTTTGAACGCAGATGAGCTTGGCGACCTGTATGATGTTGACTTCCCGAGTTTCTGGGCTCAGATGGAGGAGGGCGACGCGCATCGCAAGAGCAAGGAAGGCGACTGCGAGAAGGCCCTGATCGAGTCTGCCAATGTGCAGACGGTCGCAGAGATACCAGGACGTCGGTGCGTTGGGTCGTCAGAAACGAAGAAGGAACTGACTTTTGAGCAGGTGTCGCGGCACTTCTCCGTGACGATCAAGCAGGCGGCTCGGGAGCTCAACGTGGGCGTCACCGTCCTGAAGAAGCAATGCAGGAAGCTCGGCATCCCGCGTTGGCCGCACCGGAAGGTGAAGAGTCTGCAGAAGCTCGTCGACAACGTCCAGGTCTCTGCTTCTCTCGCTCTAGCACTGGCTTCAACTTCGTTTCGGCTAGTAGATTTTCTCTGCAATCTTCATGAACTGACAAGAATGGAGCGCGCGTCCTGCGGGGGCTCGGGAAGGAGAATGCACAAGAGAACGGGCATCTGACCAGGAGCCTGGTGGAATTCCTGCAGCAGACGGTGAAGCTGCTCGGGGAGATGCCCGATGTGATGCTGGATCAGAGGACGATAGAGCTCAGTCAGGTGTGCTTCAAGGACGAGGAGAATGCACAAGAGGACGGGCATCTGACCAGGAGCGTGGTGGAATTCCTGCAGGTAACGAAGAAGCTGATGGAGGAGAGGCCCGATGTGATGCTCGATCAGAGGACGAAGCACCTCAGGCAGGTGTGCTTCAAGGAGAGCTTCAAGAGGAAGCGCCTCATAGGCGGCCATGGCACCTGGTGAAGGATACCTCTGCTTGCCGATTTGGTCCCTGAATTTTGTGCAGGTGCAGGTCTGATCACATAGGAATTTTGTCTGATGGCAATGCATCAGTGTTGCAGTGTAATTAGCAGTAATGTTAGCCATCTCGTAGTGTAATTAGCAGTAAGTTAACTAGGGCAGCAGTCAGCCGTCTCGTAGTGTAATTAGCACTTAGCAGTAGGGTATGGTGTAGTATGATGACCTTAAGATCAGGCTTGCCGTTGGGCAGGAAGTTAACTGGACAGCAGTTGAATCATTTGTTGTGTTTAACTGTTTGCTTCTTCTTGCCATCCTCCCAGTTCGGATTTTAGAATGGTTCTGCCATGAATTCTGTATGAGAACTGCTAGACGAGCAGTGCAACAGTTTCCATACATTTGCTTTCTCGTCAGAGTTCAGAAACTAAAGAAACAGGGATACAGTAATCAGAACCAGAACGGGGAAATTTTAGCTTGCTCTTATTATTATGTCTTGATCTATTATACGTTCATTCACGTCGAAGTTTGCCGTCGTCAGCAATCCAATCGATGAACTGCTCCGAGTTCTCAACATCATCAGATGCTATATGTTGCAGCATCGATCGATACAAACAGGCAGCACTTTGATCTACTTGCTGCACTTGCACAACCTCTTTGTCTTCCTCTCCGTGCCCACTGCCCACGCACGTTGGCCTAAATTAACCCGGTTGATCAGCCGCAAAATCTCTACTAATACACCGATCAGCTGCGACTAGAACGAACACCCCAAGTGAATGCCATTTCGACGACGACGATGACGACGTCGCAGGCGGCGGCTCACAAGGTGACCTTCTCCATCTCCCGGCGCAGCGCGGTGGCCCTGACGAGGCTGCCGATGGTGTTGACGGCGAGCTTGATGTCGTCGAGCGGGTTGCCCGGCACGACGCGCTTGTAGAGGTAGCTGTCGAAGGTCATCTTCTGCACGTAGTCGTCGGCGCACATCTCCACGAACGCCTCGCGCGCGGCGTTGGAGCGGTAGAACACCTTCTGCAGGATGTCCAGCACCTTGTACGTGGGCCAGTAGAGGCGGTCGAACTCGGCCAGGTACTTGCGCAGGTCGCTCTCCTCCACCATCCGCGTCCCGTTGGCGGAGCCCGCCACGATGGCCTCGGCGCACATCCGCCCGCTCTTCGCCGCGAAGTAGATGCCCTCGCCGGAGCACTTGGTCACGTACCCCGCGGCGTCGCCCACCAGCGTCACCCGCCCGAACACCCTGCATTTCATTTCATTTGTTGGTCAATTAGTCAGTCATGTCCGGCAATTGCATGACATGCCATTCTTGCACCGAGAAACTCATGGTAGTATGGTACCTCTTGGGCCTGGGGTGCTCGGGGATGGGATGCGCCTCGACGCGGATGATCTTGCCGCCCTCGATCTTGTCCTTGGCGCGCAGGCGCGTGGCGGCCTGGAACTTCTTGATGTCGGCCTTGTGCGTGACGGTGCCGGTGCCGACCGCGACGTGGTCGCACTTGGGGAACACCCAGCCGTAGAAGTCGGGCGAGACGTCGTCGCCGACATACATCTCCGCGCGCTCCTCGTAGTACACCATCCTGTCGTCGGGGATCTTGACGCGCTCCTGGAAGGCGATGGCGTACTCGTAGTCGCCCGCGCCCATGTCCTTGGCCACGCGGGAGTTGGCGCCGTCCGCGCCCACGATCGCGTCCACCTCGAACGACCGCTTCTCGCCGCCGATCTTGCCGTTGCTGCTGCTGCTGTCGTAGTGGTTGTAGTGCACCACGTACGAGCCGTTCGGCTCCTTGGGCGCCTCGTACCTGACCAAAACAATCACATAGATCAAGTCTCACCGCGCGTTCACTTGTTGCACAGCAACTGACATTAAGATTTCAGAGTTGGCTTTTTGAAGCATGCAGATCCATTTTTGGATATGTACTTTTGATTCATTCGATTTGAATCGAATTCCATGAAGGTTGTGGCAAGACTAGAATTGAGGGTCTTAAAAACGCATGCACAAACTATCTAAACTGGCATGCATGCACAAATTAAGATCAAATATTTCCCCCCTAGGAAAGTAAAATCAATTTGTACTAGTAGGCACAAGCAGCATGCAATTCAAAATGCTGCCAACATCAGTGCAAGAGTATGAATGACAGCATTCACTTCAGTTCCTGAAAAATCTTGCTGTTGGGTTTTCCGTGCATACCTTAGGAAGAGGCCGTTGACGACCTCCGCGCCGGCGGACTGTGCCCGTGAGCGGAGGTAGGCGTCGAGCACCTCGCGCCTGACCATCCCGATGTACTCGTGGGGCGCGAGCGTGCGGCCGATGTCGACGGCGACATTGGACGGCGAAATCATTTTCATCTTCCTCACCTTGCGGTCCACGAGGTCGAGCGGCAGGTCGAACTCCGACACCATGCACAGCGGGATGGCGCCGCCGCAGGGCTTGCAGTTGTCCATCTTCCGCTCGATCAGCACCGTCTCCACGCCGCCCTTCGCCAGCGCCTCCGCCGCGGCGCCGCCCGCGGGGCCGCCTCCCACCACCGCCACCCGCAGCCGCCGCCCGTTCGGCAGCTTCGGGCTGGACGCCGCCGCGCGCGTCACCACCATCCGTGCCCTCCGGCTGCCCCCCGCCGGGCGGGCCCGGCACGAGGACGGCAGTGCCACGGCGGAGGAGAGGGAGGTCATTGTTGCCGGGATTCTTGGCTAACGGACTCGCCTTTGGGAGGGAGGAGGATCTTTCGTTTAAGCTCGACGTTCTCGAGTGCGAGTTCCGACCTCCGAGGGGAGCGTAGTAGTGAAGTGAGAGTGGATGGATAGGATGAGGGGAGATTGCGGGATATGCTGGCCGTTTGATCGAGAAATTGGACGGCCTGGATCGTGTAAGGATCAGGTTTTGTTTGTTTCCGCTTTTTTGTTGTTGGACCCGGGCGTGTGGTTGAGCTGTGTGCCAAGTCACATGAGCGGTGAACTCTTGGACCCTTCTGCGGAGTACGTGGGTGGTGCGCTGCCACGTCGTATTGTTTGAAGATCTTTCACCGAGGCCGCGACATTTTTGTTAAAAAGATCTACAGCAGGATTTATACTAGCCCGGGCAACTATCTCGCTTAAATCCTACTTTTCAGGTTAATGAACAATATTTTTCTCTCACAACAAATCAGTCAACGGTACTTTCAGTTATGGCTTATCAGCCAAACGAATAAGACATTACGCTTTTCAATATAAAATGCCCAATTTTTATACTTGGATTAACTGTGTAAATAAATGGACATAATATGAAAAATATCCATAGTATCTTATCTTATGTATAGAGTATAGACTGATGTGACTCGAGAAGTTACTTTAGCGAACTTCTACCTACCATCCATGGTCGACATGCATGCTACCATGATTCTGGTGAAGAAAAGAGTACATGTTGAGTATTGGCACTAATCTCATATTATGTGTAGGATCGATTATTTGTTGAATCATGTGGAAGTGATGTGAAGCCATGAAACAAACTCGCATGTGTTGAAATGGTGTCAAGTCACGTGCTCATATTTACTCAAGGGATAGAAACAAAGATGGTTGCAAATCCTCGCGAAGAGATGTTGAGAAAAAATTGCATATGAAGACAATGAATACTTAAGCTGTTAAAACATATGTATCATTTTGATCTTTGAGTATAGGTATGTCGTACTATCAAGGAAATGCAACATGTATAGTTAGACAAGCCTCAAGTGCTCAAACTAACATAACATCGAGTGTTAACTTGAGAGAAACACATGATACAACACTTCAACTTGTTGATCTTGGAGCTTGTCCTTGATTAAGTTGGATAGGTCTTCGAATAAACTTTTTGAAGGATCATCAAAGTTGAAGTTCGGAGCTAAGAGTTGTAATTTTTTAGGTGACCTAAGCTATTCTGAAGAGCTACGGATGTTCCACAAATTGCTGAAATTCTACGGCGCGGAAGTTCCACGCATAGGTGCGGAAGTTCCACACTCTTCAGGACATAGCAGGTAGTTTTATAGCTCTAACTGCTAGTTTTTGGGTGGGTATATATACCCATCCCCACGCCCCCTAGAGGTGTTGCTGATGTTCTTGTGGTTGCTAGAGCCTTCCAAAGTCTTGTGAGACTCTTCCCAGCCTCTCTCTTTGTGAGAGTGAGTGATTAGTGTGAGATCAAGTGTTGGGTTTAGAGATTTGGTGTTAGGGAGCACTAAGAGAGCAAGCCAAACCTCAAGTACTTGTCAATCTTCGCCAAATTCACGAAGCATTTGTTACTCGTTGAGGAGAAACCTCCTAGACAGATAGGTGTCGCTCGGTGAACTCCCGTGCTTATGGTGAGCTGCGGGAAAATTTATGAGGCCTGTGATCTTGCCCCCGCAAGGGAGAAGATCATCTAGTGAGGACAAGGATAGTGGTCAAGAGGGACCCGTCACAAGTATAAGCATGAGTTTTGTTAGTTGCTCACTATCACCACAACAGAGACACATGGTTCAAGTGAGAACCTAAACTTTGGTGAAACAAATATCTTGTCACTCTTGTGTTCTGAGTTACAATATTTGTTTCCCACTTGATCCTTAGTTGTGTGTGTTTGTAAGTGCAGGTATTTTGTAAACTTGCTACTAGATATCTCCAAACACATCTATGTTTGGTTTGAGCTTGATTTTTAGAGAAAATGTTTCCCGCTTGAGCACTATCTTCGTGTGTCTCAATGTCCTAGCAAGTCGAGTCAACACCTGCTTTTCCCCCGGCCATCTCACTCCCCGAAAACAAACATCATTATAGAGTTTCCATAAGCCCCCTCCCCCAAAGCATAGCAGAGCTAACCACATTAGTAAAACCATTCTTCTTGTTGCTCAACCGATGCGGGTCACTAATTCAAAGTCTTGGCCAAGATGTACATTTAAAATCTCTAAAACAGTCCTCCAAGTATTACACAACACCCAAAGAATAAATGACTATTGACTTAAATTTGTTGCAAAACAAACATGTTGGGTTAGACACTTCCTTTCTTTTTTCAAGGTTATCTCGAGTAAGCAACTTATTGTTTATCAACAGTCATAAAAAGGTTTGAACATGAGCTGGAATAGTAAGTTCCACACATCTTGAAATTAAACTGGAACTTTACCCTATACCCTATAATTAATCACAGCGTATAGAGGTTACACTATATATTTCTCACTTGAGCTAAAGCTCCAGACAATATGATCATTCTCATCGGTAAAATTGTTACCCTTGGCGATACTTACCAGATCAAACCATAATGTCTTAAGACTATAGGAGACTGATCTCCTAAAGTTAGCTTGAAGTCAGTACCATCCCATGTCTCTGCCACAGTAATACCTTGTCAGCCACAAATGACATAAAGGGCCATTTACTGAATAGTAAGACTAGAATTCTCAAACCAGTTATCTTTCGAAAATCTAATTCTCTTTCCATTTTCCCTACTAACCACTTAATCCTCATACTAGTATAATGCCCGTGCTAACGCAACGGATTTATCTTGGAGACGCACATGAAAACAACCAATGTAGTATAGTGCCTGTACTAACGCCACAACTTAATTTCAGGGATGCACATAAAACAACCAAACGACGATGAGTTTTCCATTATTTAAGTTTCACGTAATTATATATGACTATGTATATAATCCGAAAAACACTTATCTTGCCTCAACCATCTAATTTATGATTTGCTAGTTGATTGACCATGCAAATAAACATCACACAAGAGCAGAAAATAATAAACGCAATAAAATAAGCATGAAAATAAATAGTAACACGTTTTCAAAATGAATCAGTGGAGTCACCAATAATCTTTTTTTGCTTGACAAACATAATAATTTGCATATGATACATGATGAGTTAAAGTTTTCCTTTGAATAATAAGCATTTCTTGCAACTTTGAGTTTGGACAAAACAAGAGCTATTCCCTAGTTCGTTTCATCTCACAAGAGTCAAGCGGTCAGCTCTTAGATCTTTCTCTCTTGCTGTAATGCATGAATATTTCATTTGCCCCAAAACATATTTTCCTGCTTTCAACCAACTAAAAACTGAGTCCAGTAACATAGCATATATATATTTTGTCAAAATGCTCAAAAGATGACAAGATAAATAAAATGTAACAATCAGTAGCATTTTCTTTCATATCTAGTCCATGCTACTGTAAAATTTACTGAGGTTGTATAATGCCAAGGACCGTCTTGCCAATACCTACAATGAGAAGATCATCTGGATAATGCTTGTTATCAGCCTCCAGATAGAGTCAATGGCATCATGTAGATGTTCATATTGAAAAGCTGATACCTGCAACATGAGGCATAAAAAGGTCATGTTTTATGTTGTGTAAAGATCCATGTCAATTGACATATATAAGATTGATTCAGTAACTTTTTTTTAGAACTGTCACGGGGGGATTGAATCCCCACCTGAATATATACATATATTGATTCAGTAACTCACATACAACTTTATTTTATACATAATTCATTATATTTGTTAAAAGATTTCTGTCGCTTTGCCATGGAAGAAACATTTGATAAAATCGGACAGGAGATGTCAAATGAGAATAAAGGTCTCCCTTTTCTGATTTTAAATAAAAAAACCAGTAAATATTATCTTCATCACAATTGAATCAACAAGGAAGCACTTGAAAGAGAGAGATCAATATTGTATCTGCATTACCGTTGCAACATAAAAAACCATATATGAAAATATAAATATTCCTTCAGTCTTAAAGCTTGGAACATAGGATCAGGCAGGGAAATTATTATTTATTGAAGAAAGGAGAAAATGACAAACCTGCTTAATTTTGATTTATTGACCAAACACATGCATGGTCAGTCTTTTTAGTAGTATAGATTTGTTGGCCATGATTTTGAAACATAATCTGTACAAAAGAAAACTTACTCGATTAATTTTAGGATTCAACTTTCTCCTATCAAATGGGATTTTTTATGCATCAGTTTTGCAACAAAAAAAGTATACAAGCCTTAACTCCTGCAAAAGAAATCAACAAACTGAAGGTTATTCAGTTTTCGATGTGCTCACGAACACCATGGGCTCACGGGAAACAATAATTATAATTGTTTTTGGTGATATAAACTATTAAACTATAAAGAGAAATTTACAATTCCATTAATAAAATGTGCTCTTGGAGCTTGGTACATTTAATAAGAACCTAAAAGCATAAGAATATTTTAGACATTAAGCATGGACTAACATATAGTTACAGAATGTTTTCTCTGGTATAAACTTAGTAATGGACTAACATATAGTTACATAATGTTTTCTCTGGTATAAATTTAGTAATCAGGGGAGAAGTTCATAAATGCTACAACTATTTCCTTGTTGCTGAAGGAACTGAGTTTGAGCCCAGCGAAGCAGCTGGATATCGCCCATCACTTGCACTCCCTGATTATTTACAAGACAAGATAATTTGTATATAAAAAAGAAATAGGTGTAGCATTTACCCAACCATTCATCAACACTTAATAAGTAAACAACAAAGAGACTCTTTATGTGTTTCTTTATCTCTTGCAAGGTATAGAAAAATAAATTTAGCAGATGCAAAAGTAGTAGCAAGTAGCCAAGTACAGCTAAAACTACAAAGGGAATGCCCCTCACCTGTAAGAGAAGATCTTCTTTGTCCAGTGAAGACGGAGTTGTCGTTGCTGGCCTTGACAAAAAGCGATTCAGTGA